GGCTCAACCCATGTTGAGCAAAAGGCTCCCGAACCCCCGAACTCCCGAGCTTGGGCCGCAGCATCATACGCATGAAGCGTCCAGCTGCCAACGGAGCGGGTGCAGCCTCGGCGCCAGCCCCGAAAGCGGCCAAGCAAGATGATGCTGGCACGCCTTCATTCCAGTCGGTGTATGACGAGCAGACGCGCGTTTTCACGAAGTTCTGGCCAGCCTCATAAACGCAGTGGTGGAACGACAATGGCGTTTGGCGGCGCGCGCGCTGGAAGTGCCTAGACGTCGTCTATCGTGGTGGTGTGTACAAGGAGGTTTGGCAGTGGGAATACATCCCATGATTGTGTTCATCTCTGCAGCGCTGCCGTTCATATTTATGCAGGCAGCCGTTCATATGTCTCAGCGCGTTGGATTTCAGTTCATATCAGTCTCGATCATTATTCATTGCGCTGGATTTCAGTGCTTATCATTATTTGCGCTGGATTTCAGTGCGTACCATTGCGCTGGATTTCAGTGCTGGCTTTTCAGTTGTTCAGATCCTTGCGCGCTGGATTTCAGTGCGTATCATTATACATTCCAGTTTAGCTCTCAGCTGCAGGCTTGATCAAGTCGCAGCCTTTGATATCTCCGCAGCGCGATTGGCGCTGCCGTTCATGTGCCAGTCGTTCATATTCCTCAGGCTGATTTTTTAGGAGGTTTCCTCGCCGTGGCGACCTCCGATCGCGTCGCAGCCTTTCCTATCTCAGCAGCGCACTTGGCGCTGTCTTTTATATGCCAGCAGTTCATATTCATCAGGCTGACTCCTCAGGAGTTGTACTCGCCGTGGCGACTTCCCCGAGAAAAAAAAAAAAACGGTTTGAACGACAACGCGTTTCGTGCCGCACCCAGCCGCTGCAAATTCCAGAGTTTCCCGAGGCGCGCCCAGCCGTGGCAAGCTCCTTTGAGTGTTCCGAGTTGCATACAGTCGTGGCGGCCGCGTCCAACCGTAGCATTTCTTGGATGCGTTGGCGGATGTCGGGAAGCACGCATATCGGCACACCCCTCACACGCGTTTTGGCCCCATAGGGAGCCCACCTTCAGTCGTCACTCCTGTCTTGTGGTGCTCACACCTGCATGTGGTTAGATCATTCGGCATGACATTTTGCATTGATTTGCTGAAGTCCTGGAGTTCCTTCTCGAGGGTGGCCCGAGAGGGGCGGGGGGGAGGCCGATGGGGAAGGCCTGACGAACGAACAACACAGACCCATACCCATAGGGGGGTCGTTAGGAGGAGAACTGGCTATGGGTATGGGTGCGGGTTGTCGGACCCTGGGGAACGCTCCCCTTCGAGCGAACGCCCCCATCCGGCAACACGCACCCATAGCCCTCTCCGAACCCCCTACGGGTATGGGTGTGTGTTGTTGGTTCGTCAGTCTGCGGGTCCGTCTTGGGGCTCTCTTGAGGATGCCTGGGGCCGTCTTGGGACCTCTTGCGTCGCAGCCATTTCTGATGCTGATACTGCTGAGGATCATGGTGATGAGGATGATGATGCTCATGACGATGATGATGACGGTGTTGATGATGTTGATGCTGATGATGACGGTGGTTGTGATGATGATTATGATGTGGATGCTGATGGTAGGGATGGTATGCCTTCTGATGATGATGGTGGTGATGATGATGTTGCTCATGTTGCTGATGATGGTGCCGCTGCTGCTGATGACGATGATGCCGATGGTGATGGTCATGGTGGTGATGTTGATGTTGATGATGCTCATGGTGATGATTATGACGATGATGATGATGGCGGTGGTGATGATGACGATGGATATGGTGATGATGGCGATGTTGGTGGTGATGATTATGATGATGCTAATGATGATGATGATGATGGTGATGATGATGATGATGATGATGACGATGATGGTGATGCTGATGATGATGATGATGCTGATACTGCTGCTGATGATGATGATGATGATGATGGTGATGAATGGTGGTGCTGGCGGTGGTTGTGATGGTGGAGCGTGTGTGCGTGTACGAACGAACGGTGGCGATGATGAGTGGTGGTAAGGGTGGCGTGTAAGAGCGGACTGGGGGGAGTGCGCGGATGGTGATGCGGATGCGGATGGGGATGCTGATGAGGATGGGGGGTGAGGATGACCATGAGGATGATCATGGTGATGAGTGTGATGCTGACGATGAGGATTGTGATGATGGTGCCGATGCTGATGATGATGATGATGGTGCTGATGATCACGATGCTGATACCGATGATGATGATGATGATGGTGATGATGATGATGATGATGGTGATGAGGATGGTGATGCGGATGATGATGCCCATGATGATGATGATGATGATGATGATGACGGTGGTGATGATGCTGATGCTGATGATGACGGTGGTGATGATGATGATGGTGGTGGGGATGGTATTATTGATGATGATGCTGGTGCTGGTCGTGCTGCTGCTGATGGTGGTGCTGCTGCTGATGACGATGATGACGATGGTGATGGTGATGGATGTGGTGCTGATGTTGATGATGATGATGATGATGATGGTGATGATTGAGATGATGATGGTGGTGGTGATGATGATGATGACGGTGATGGTGATGATGATGATGATGGTGATGGTGATGCTGGTATTGTGATGATCATATTTTGACGATGCTGATGATGACGATGATGATGATGATGAGTATGATGATGATGATGATGATGATGATGATGATGATGATGATGATGATGATGATGATGATGAATGCATAGTGGTGATGGCGGTGGTGGTGATGGTGGAGCGTGTGTGCGTGTAAGGACGCACGGTGGTGATGATGGGTGGTGGTGAGAGTGGCGTGTAAGAACGGACTGGGGGAGTGCGCGCTCGAGGCAGGGCACCGCGCCAGCGCTGGACGCGGCTGCATACAGCTTCCCCTCATCATCCTCCAGTCGCCTCCCTCTCCTCTTGTACTTTCACTGTTCCGCATTCCCCTCCGCTTCGTCCCTCCTCCCCCCCTCGGCCCCTCCCCCCGTTGCGTCGCTTCTCCTTGTCGCACTCTTCCTGTCGATTCCTTGCTCCTCAAGGAGGGGCCCGCGCAATCGCGTGCACGCTAGGGGCAGAAACGGCGCCGCTAGGGCGGTTGCGGGCTGGCCAAGGGGAAGGAGGGGGGACGTGGGAGAGGGGGGAATGAGGGAGGACATGAGAAGGAGCGGGAGGAGGAATGAGGAAGGTGAGGCTTGAAGAAATGGAAATGCGGAATGAGGAAGGAGGCAGGGGAGGGAGGACGTAGGGACGCGGATGATTGAGGAAAGGGCGGAATGAATTGCTGGAGGGCTTGATAAAAGAAGGGAATTGGGGGGATGGAGGACGTAGGACGGATGGAAGGGGGGGCTGACGTTGCGGAGAACGGCCGTTGCAATGTCACTGCCGCAGCTGCAGTCCGCCAAATGACGGCGAACGACCCGCTGCTCTTGTGCGCGGGCCTCCATCGCGAGACGGTTCTCTCCGCCTGCGACCGTGCAGTGAAAAGTTGCCTCGAGCTCGGGCCTCAGCTCTCACGGAGGGTGGCGCCGTCGCCTGCCCCCCAGCCCTCACGGAGGGTGTCGCCGCCGTGCTGCTGGTCGTTCTTGCCCGTCAAGCGGCGGCGCTTGGCCAGCTGCGAATCATGGGCGGTCGAGGCGTCGTCGCCGCTCTCAGCCTCGGCGTCGGTCTTGACGCCGCCATCGTCCAAGATCTCCTCCAGCCCCTGCGTGACGTCGAAGGTCGCTGCCTGCTCGGGCTGCTCGGCCTCGCCCTCGGACTCCTCGGCCTGGCCCTCGGACTCCTCGGCTGGAGCCATCTCCGCGCCCGCGGGGTTGCCTGAGCCGTTGGGCTCCTCGGCGGCGGGTTCCTCATCCTTGTCACGGTCATCGCCTGCGACAGCCGCTTGGTGCATTTGCTCAGCCACCTTGTTGGCCAGGTGGACACAGGCCTCGAGGAGGGGGTACGGCTTCAGCTCCACGTCGGGTGGCAGGCACTTCGAGTCCGAGCGCCTGCTCCACTTCTGCGCGCGCTTCTTGTGGACCCAGACCTCCCACCCCAGGTACGGCAACTTCGGCCTCGCGTAGATGCCGACCTCGGAGGCGGAGGGGGTTCAGAGCGGGGCCCGAAACCACTTGGGACCGTCTCGGGGCTCTCTCGGAACCAGCTCGAGGCCCGTTCGGGCCTTTCGGGGCTCCAAGACGACCCCAAGAGGGCCCTTCGGGGCTCTCTTGGGAGCATCTTGGGGATCTCCTGGGCGCGCTGGGCAGGCGTACCTTAAGCGTTCCTTAAAGTACGCCTGGTCTGTGCCATCGTGGGGGCATCTTGGGAACGCTTGGGGCAGTCTCGGGGCCTCTGCGGGCTCTCTGGTGGGCATCGGGTGGTTTTCTTGGGAGCCTCGTGGGGCTCTCTTGGGAACGCTGGTCAGGCGCGCCTTTCGCGTTCCTTAAAGGACGCCTGACTTGGGTCATATTGGGGGGGGGTCTAGCGCGGCCATCTTGGGGGCCAGGACGGCCCCATAAAGGGGCCCACGACGGCCCTGGGGGCTCATGAGGGCCTTCGTGGATCTGCAGGTTGAGCCCCCCCCAAGGCTTCAAGGTGGCCAACAATTTAACAAACATGGTTGAGAATGCAAGTTTGATATGCTGGTGTAAATCGTGTGGGCCATCTTGGGGGCTTCTTGGTGCCTTCTCCTGGGGCTCTTGGGCCCCCTGAAAGCTGTGGCCTTGTAGTCACCGAAGGTCTTGCACAGCTCGCGACCCCAAGCGAGCAACTCATTGCGCTGAGTGTCGACGTCGCTGCCCGTCCCGTTGTTCTTGCCGTCGGCGACGTCGCCGTCGGTGCTGCCCTTCCCGTTGCCCTTGCTGTCGGCGATGTCGCAGTCGGCGCTGCCCATGCCGCTGCCCTTGTCGCCCTTGCCGTTGGCGACGGTGTCGTTGTCCTTGCCGTCGTCGCTGCCCTTGCGCCTCTTGCCTTTGCCCCTGCCCCTGCCCATGCCTGCGGCGACGGGCTTGCTGTTGCCCATGCCGCTGCTCTTGTCGGCGTCGCCTCCCTTGCCAGTGCCGCCCTTGCTCTTCATGTGGCTGAACTTCTTGGCGCCCTCCTCGCAGCCCGTCTTGTCATTGCCCGTCGAGGCGCAGCCCTTCTCCTTCTTCTTGTCCCTGACGGGGGTCTCGAGGACGAACGAGACCTCGCTGGGCGGCACCCAGCGGTCACCGTCGTCCCATGTGAAGCACGTGCTGCCATCTTTCATGCCGAACGAGCCGCTGGCCTTCTTGTTGTCCACCGTCCTGACCGCCCAGCCCTTGACGATCGCGTAGTCGTCGGCCTCCTCGTCCTCCTCGGGGGCCTCCTCGGGGGCCGCGCTCGCCGTGTTCTTCTTCTTCTTCTTCTTGATCGCCATCTCGGACGACGAGTCGGAGACGAAGGAGTTGTCGTCGTCGTCGTCGTCGCTGCTCTCGATGGTGGCGGCGGCCTTGGGCGCGCGCCCAAACGTGGCGGTGGCGGGGGAGGAGGAGGGGGATGCGGAGGAGGGAGAGAAGGAGGTAGAGAGGGGAGGAATGAGAGACGGGAGGAGGACGAGCGATACGACGATGGAGGAGGCGGACGATAAGGAGGGGGGATAACGAGGAGGAGGAGGAGGAGGAGGAGGAGGAGGAGGTAGAGGAGGGAGGAGCATGAGGCACCCTCAAACATCGTTTTTGCTACCTCATGATGCTCCCGATACCTTGTAATCTGAATTGACGTAGCCGAAGGTGCCCTTCTTCACGGTTGGGATGCCGAGGACCATGTCCGTGGCATCGCAGCCGCGTTCCCCCGTCTTTCGTTTGTTGTTTGGTTCTCTCTCTCTCTCTCTCTCGTTCGCCTCCTCTCCTTGTGGCTATCTCTCTCTCTCTCTCTCTATCTATCTCGGGAGCGGGGCGAGATAGTGGTGTTCCCCCAACCATCTTGTGGTGTTGGGCCTCGCGTTGAAGAGACAGCGCCCTGCGTCATTTCACTTCGCCTCCCGCTGCCCTCTCCCCCTCCTCCCTCACCCCATCCCTTGCCTCTGCTCTCCGCATGCCCAAACCATTCTGACACACCCTTGATGCGGTTCGTGGCCACATAGGGCGTTCCACCGACGGCCCCAGTGGTGGGGTCTGCATGCGTTCCCCCACCAATGTCGGCACACCCCTCACGAGGCCCGTGGTCTCACACGGGGGCTCCACCGACTGCCCCAAGCGGCTGTGTCAGCATGCGCCACCCCCCTCCCCGCTCATTTCGGCACGCCCCTCACGCGGTTCGTGGCCCCATACAGAGATCCACCGAAGGCCCCATCGGCAGGGCTTGCATGCGTCCCCCGCCCATTTCGGCATACCCTTCACGAGGATCGTGGCACCATAGGGAGCTCCGCCGAAGGCTCCAGCGGCAGGGTTCGCATGCGTTCCCCCGCCCATGTCAGCACACCCCTCACGAGGATCGTGGCACCAGCGGCAGGGCCCGCATGCGTCTCCTAGCTCATGTCGGCGCACCCCTCACCAGGATCGTGGGAGCTCCACCGAAGGCCACAGCGGCAGGGTCCGCGCGAGTCACCCCGCCCATTTCGGCACACCCCTCACGAGGATCGCGGCCCCGTAGGGAGCTCCACCGAAGGCCCCAGCGGCAGGTTTCGCATGATTCTCCCCGCCCATTTCGGCACACACACCCACGAGGGCCGTGGCCCCATATGGAGCTCCACCGAATGCCCCAGCGGCAGGGTCCGCACGCGCCCCCTCCGCTCATTTCGGCACACCCCTCACGAGGATCGCGGCCCCGTAGGGAGCTCCACCGAAGGCCCCCAGTGACAGGATTCGCAGACTTCCTCCCGCACAGTTCGGCACACCCTCCACGAGGATTGTTGCCTCATAGAGGGCTCCACCGAAGGCCTCAGCGGCAGGGTTCGCATGCGTCCTCCAGCTCATGTCGGCACACCCCTCACGAGGATCGCGGCCCCGTAGGGAGCTCCACCGAAGGCCCCAGCGGCAGGGTCCACATGCATTCCCCCGCCCATTTCGGCACACTCCTCACGAGGATCGCGGCCATATAGGGGGCTCAACCGAAGGCCACAGCGGCAAGGTCCGCATGCGTCCCTCCACGCCCATGTTGACACGCCCTTCGCGAAGATCGTACCCCCATCGGGAGCTCCACCGAGCTCACCATTTTGACACGTCCCTCGCCCATTTCAGCACGCTCACCGCGATACTCGCGGCCCCGCATGGAGCTCCACCGAGAGCGTTACCCACAACGCGGCACTCACACGTGCATGCGGTTGGGTACGTCGCCATACTAAGTTTGCGGGGTGGAGGGGAAGTGGGGGCTGGCCCGTTGCGCGCAACGCAACGTGGGCTCCTAAATGTAGGGGCGCACAAGCACTTGCGAGCGCAAGCCTCGGAGGCGGCGGGGGCGGGGGCGAGGGGGATGGCATCGGGGCGTAGGGGCGGGGGAGGACGGAGCGTCGAGGAATAGGGAAGCGGGCGATGGTGGAGAGGGAGGATGATTGGGTGAGGAGGCACAACTGGAAGAGGATGGGGAACGATGGGGAGGAGGAGGGGTGGGTGTTTCTGGCGCCCTGGGGCCCTTACAGACGACTCGGGACGAAACACTGACCCCCGTGAAAACGTTCGGACCTAGGGGCCAAACTCTGGAAATCAGGCTGGTGCTCGGGGGGGGGAGCGGGCTGCCCCTCCGAGCCCTCTTGGCAACGTGCTTGGTCTCCGCCGCCGCCGCTGGACCCGTGGGCTTGCTCTTCCTCGAGCGGCGGCCTGGGGAGAGGGAGGAGGAGGAGGAGGAGGAGGAGGAGGAGGAGGAGGGAGGAGGAGGAGGAGAAGGATGATGAGGAGGAGGAGGAAGAGGAGGAGGGGGAGGAGGAGGAGGAGGAGGAGGAGGAGGAGACGGAGGAGGAGGAAGGGGAGGAGGAGGAGGAGAGAAGGGGGAGGAGGAGGAGGAATCGGGAGGAGGAGGCGGAGGATGAGGAGGAGGAGGGGAGGGGGAGGAGGAGGAGGAGGAGGAGGAAGAAGAGGAGGAGGAGGAGGAGGAGGGAGGAGGAGGAGAGGAGGAGGAGGAGGAGGAGGAGGAGGAGGAGGTGGAGGAGGGGAGAGGCGGGGCGGAGCAGGAGGAGGAGGACGAGGAGGAGTAGGAGACGGCGGAAGATGATGATGATGATGAGGGGAGGAGGAGGAAGGGGAGGAACAGGAGGGCATGGACGGGGAGGAGGAGGAGGAGGAGGAGGAGGAGGAGGAGGAGGAGGAGAAGAGAGGAGGAGGAGAGGAGGAGGAGGAGGAGGAGGGAGGAGGAAGAGAGGAGGAAGATGAGGAGGAGGAGGAGGAGGAGGCGGAGGAGGAGGAGCGGGAGGAGCAGGAGGAGGAGGAGGAGGGGGACAATAAGGATGATGAGTGGGATGACGATGATGAGGAGGAGGGGAGGTGGAGGATAAGGAAGAGGAGGATGAGGAGGATGAGGAATAGGAGGAGGAGGAGGAGGAGGAGGAGGAGGAGGAGGAGGAGGAAGAGGAGACGGAGAATGAGGGTGAGGAGGGGTCGACACTTCTTGAGACCTTTTCGGGGCCAGCTCGGCGCCCTGTCGGGCCCTGCGGGGTCGTCTTGGAAGGGCCCGAGACGGCTGGCAGAGTGTACCGAGAAACTCGCGAGAAACTGTGCTCGCACAGGACTGCTTCAAGCTCCAAGAGGGCCCCAAGAGGGCCCCAAGAGCGTTCGGGCAATTTGTTCAACCAAACATCCTGGCGAATGACCCAACCACATGCGCCCGTGTGTGAATTGGGCGGGGGGGGCGCATGTGGACCTTGCCGCGGGTGCTTTCGGTGGAGCTCCCTATAGTGGGGCACGTGAGGCGTTCGGTGTAGCCCCCTATGCGGCCACGGTCCTCGGAGGGGTGTGCCGAAATGCGCGGGGGGCACATGCTGGCCCTGCCGCGGGGGCCTTCGGTGGGGGCCCCATATTGGAGCCACGCACCGTGTGAGGGGTGTGCCGAAATGAGTTGGGGGGCGCATGTGGACCTTGCCGATGTGGCTTTCGGTGGAGCCCCCTATGGGGCCACGATCCTCGCGAGGGGTGTGCCGAAATGGGCGGGGTGACTCGCGCGGACCCTGTCGCTGGGGCCTTCGGTGGGGCTCGTTATGGGGCCACGGTCCTCGTGAGGGGTGTGTCGAAATGAGCGGGGAACGCATGCTGACCTTGTCGCTGGGGCCGTCGGTGGAGCGCACGATCCTCGTGAGGGGTGTGCCAACATGGGCGGGGAGGGCGCATGCGGACCCTGCCGCTGGGGCCTTCGGTGGAGCTCCCTAAGAGACCACGAACAGTGTGAGAAGGGCACCGAAACTGTACAGATGTGTATGCGAATCTTGCCGCTGGGGCGTTGGGTGGAGCGCTTTGTGGGGCCACGAGCCGTGTGAGGGGTGCACCGAAATGATGGTGGAACTGCATGCGAACCTTGCCGCTGAGGCATTCGGTGGGGCTTCCTATGTGGCCACGGGCCGTGTGAGGGGGTCCGCCGAAATGAGGGTGGAGCTGCACGCGAACCCTGCCGTTGGGGTCTTCGGTGGAGCTCTCTATGGTGCCGCGAACCGCGTGAGAGCGGCACCGACATGGGGACGGAACTGCATGCGAACCTTGCCGCTGAGGCTTTTGGTGGAGCTCCCTACGGGGCCACGAACCGTGTAGGGGGTGCGCCGATGAAGGTGGAACTGCACGCGAAACCTGTCATTGGGGCCCGTGAGGGGTGCGCCGAAATGAGGGTGGAACTGCATGCGAACCCTGCCACTGCAGCATTCGGTGGAGCTCCCTATGGGGCCGCGAACCGTGTGAGGGGTGCGCCGAGATGAGGGTGGAGTTGCATGCGAACCCTGCCGCTGGGACCCTGCCACAGAGGCCGCACCAATAGGGTCAGGAGGCCGACGACGCGGAGGCGGAAGAGGAGGCAGGAGGGAAGTTGTACAGGATTCCCGTGAACCTCTGATCGGTTCGAGGCTGTCCTCCGAACCGTCGTTCATGTAGAAGAAGTCCTTCTTCAGCTCAGCCAGCTGCTTGTGCGGGGTGATGTTCTGGCGGACGGGGCGGTAGGGCTGGCTCATCAGCAGCTTCAGCTCATTTGGGATCTCGTACGAATTCCTGGGAGGGGGCATCTTCGTTGTCGTCCTGCTTCCTTATCCCTCCTCGCCTCCCTTCCTCATCCTGCTCCTCTATCGCCTTGCCTTCCTCCTCCCCCCCCGTCCTCCGCCATTCTCTCATGCTTCCTCGCCTGCCCTCATCACCCTGTTCCTCGCTCTCCCTCCCTCGTGCACCCGAGCGCCAGGGGGCGACGATGACGACGAGGATGAGGATGAGGATGCGGAGGACGAGAATAAAGAGGACTGAGATGAGGACGCTGAGGACGACGATGGCGAAGGCGAAGGTGACGAAGAGGATGGGGAAGGGGATGGGGAGGGGGAGGGGGAGGCTGATGGGGGAGGAGGGGGAGGAGGAGGAGGAGGAGGAGGAGGAGGAGGAGGAGGAAGAGAAATAGGGATGATGAACAGGGGGGGTCGGGGTCTCGTCGTCACCCGGGCTGTCCTCACCGTCCGCCGCCAGCCCGCGAACAGATCTAGGGCCTTCTTCGCGTCCGCGCAAATCAAGTCGCCCTCAGATGGGTGGCTGTGCACCTCTAAAAGGATGAGGGGGGTCGGGAGCGAGGAGGGGGCTGAGGAGGACGAGGCGGCGCCTGGGCCACGGCGTGCTCCCAGTCGTTCAGGTCGAACACCAGGGTGGGGTTCACCTGCTC